ACATTTTCAACACTCCTCATATTTAGAAGGAAAAATGAAGAGCGCCTATTGTTGGCACTTCTTGAATTGCTTTTCCTATTGTTAGGTTGGCTGCGCCTTCCCGGTGCCAGCCAAGAACAACTTTCCTCATAAACTTCCGTTTTATAAATACGGGATGGCTGAAAGGAGTGCAGTGATGCGCTAAAAATAGCTGGGTGTATTCAGGTCAGGCACATCTCCAGGCTGGCAGCAGAAACAGTTGTATTTTTAAACTCCCCTGCTGATTGCACACAGAGCATGCGGGTTTAGTGATGAAGGTAAAATTGGGGTGTTCTGGAATGCCCTTGTGCATGGGCCTTGGCCTGGCTGGTTTTTCGCTTCATGGTCTTTTGTCAGAGGACTGAGGCGTGGTGGTGATGTCTTGCACTCAGCCTAACACCACCCAGGACAACCTCCTTTGCCGTTAGCCACGATTATCTTGTTTTATTTCTGTTGTGCAGAGAAGTGTTTGCTGTGTCTGAGGACCCCTCTGTGCGAGCAGAAGGCAGAACTGCAGCCCTCGGCTGAAGGGAGTTTATAGTTTCAGCTCAGGAGGGAGGGACGTGCCTGTGTGCAGGAGCAGTAGGAGACAGTGGGACCCTCTGGGTCGCTGTGACAGTCAGAAGCCATTTGTTCCCAGCTGCTTGGCAAAGGAGATCTTGAAGAAGAGATTTGAAGTAGAACAGCCTGCTAATATTTGTCAAAAAAAAAAAAAATCTGCCCTCCCAGCACACACTTGCTCAAATACATAAGAAGGAAGCAGTGGAGCCTATTTTCATTCCTCAGATGGAGAGGAAACCTTTATATCATTGGAGGTGATGCTGGGGGGCAAGTGGAGGGACACGAGAACAGGCTTTGAAAGAGAAGAGGTTTTGGTGTAGTGGGAAAGTGGAGGGATGGTGAGAGGTGATGTGGTTGTAGCTGTTGCTTAGAAAAATGATCCCTGTGGCAGCACAAAGGGTGGATAAATGAGTAAAATATTATTTTAATATATATAATAATAATAATGTAAAATATTTCAAGATAAGTAAGTGTTTGAAAATTAGTGTTTTCCCCATTTCTGGAAGTGTTCAAGGTTCAGGCTTGAACAAAGGGGCTTTGAACAACCTGGTTTAGTGGAAGGTGTCCCTGCCCATGGCCAGGTGGTTGGAACGAGGTGATCTTTAAGGTCCCTTCCAACCCAAACCTTTGATTCAATGAAAACCAGGGGATGATGTTGACAGATGACAATTTTATTTGTGTTAGAAGACAAGAAATACTGTATTATACAGAGGCATGAAGCAGGAGAAGTTGGTGAGGTATTGTGAAGATCTAACGCTTAAAGCCTGAGAGAGCTTTATGAAGGTTATGGAGCTGAGTGGAATAGGGTCAGTTTGTGTCAGGCTGGGACATGGGCTGTGCAGAAGAAGGGCTGTGGGGGAAGCTTGGGCTCATCATACTACCCCTGGGCTGGTCATCATCCCCAGCCCAGATATGAGAGGAGAGACTGGGTTCAGCCTGTGCAGGAAGATGATCTGTGATGATAGGGCACATCTCTGGGTACCTGGCAGGAAGCTTTAGGGTTAGAAACAGAAAAGTTGTAAGCTACTAAAAGATAAGATTCAGAGTAACATCATGAAGGGAGAAAGAAAAGCTTGTGGTGCTCACAGGGTATTTATGGAGGTTTGATGGGATAAGGAATCACAGCCAGGATGGGACAAGATTTTAAAGCTAGAAAGCTGCTCTTGTAGACTTGGACAAAAGGAATTCAGGTGACTGCAGAGGGCAGAAACTAGACAGTTCTTTATTTCACCAGACTGGCTCCCTAAGGAGCAGCTCTTACACAGCTGTCAAAGCTGTGGGACTGGTTAGGAGCTCTTCATTCTGTGCCGCGTATTGCTTGGGTCACTTTGCAAAGTCCCTTCATTGGGAAGGTACAGACTTGTAGGGTGCTTCATGTCCTAGACTTTATTTGTGTCCACTTTTAAGTTATCCTACAGCTCTCTGTCTCCTTCAGGTGACAAAAAAGTCTGACCCTTTGATTTTGCATAAATGGACATAATTCATCATCAGGAATCTTCTGGCTAGGGAGATATATTCCTTTCTCTGGTTTCTCTGGGAGTCTGTGTGAGTTGTAATTTTCTTGGTCTCCTGATTCTGTGGAGGCAGTTGGTGGTGGCTGCAGGGATTCAGGTAGTTTCTGTTGTCTTGCAGACATTCCATTCTTGGGAGCATTCCCTGCCCAGAGCAGCGTGGCAGCCTGAGGGTGCTGCTGCAGGACCCAGCCAGCTGGCTGGGACACCTTACAGCCAGTGTGCCCTTGGGTCTGGGCCCTCAGGTGAGGATTTCAGAACATCTTCCTTTGCTTTCTGGGGCTTTTCTCTCCAAATTTCTTAGCAATAACTGTGAAGGGTCAATGATCACACTGTTAGTCATCAGTCCCTTATCAGTACCAGTTTGGGCTGCAAATGTGCAGTTGTTCCACTGTCTTCCCTCAGCCCAGGAAAAAAGCTAAGCTCTTTACCCTGGTGTGTGGCTAGGCTCGGGAAAGTGAGGAAACTTGAGTCATGATGTATTGTTAATAAAAATGTTGCAAAAATTTCCAGTTTCCCCTGCTCAATATTGTAACAAATACACAAGTGTGTGAGAAACTGTCTGCACCTAAACCACAGTGGTTTTGATATGGGATTGCCCAGAGTTCTCTGTAGTTAAGCATGTTTGTCTCTCACTCTGCGAGTGGGACAGATAAAGCAAGTTTTTGTGTGTAATATCCTGACAAGGATTCTGTATGGGTAAGTAAGTTGCTGTGAACTTACTTTGCAGAAGACTATATCAAAATATAGAAGTTACTTACTATTATTATACAAAGCCACCTAATAAGTAACCAAGCCTCAAGGTTGGGAACCATCCGCAAAGCAGTTTTTCCCAAAGTAGGTGCTGTGAGACATGAAGTGGTGAGGTGATCAGACTTGTGCTAAGTCTTGGTTCACAGTCTTGGCTGCTATATTCTTGTGCTTGAAACCCAGAATGTGGCCCTTTGAAAGAAACCAAAAAATGCTGTGGCTGCCTGGCTGTGGCAGCATGCTTAGGCAGAGCAGCACAGCTTTCCACTGCCTGCTGCCTTTGGAGAAGGGGCCATGGGAAGGCACCACTCCTGGTTCTTACCTCTGTAAATCTCCAGCCTGTCCTCATGGGAGGGACTTTTTAAGAACACATCCTTTCTCTTGTTGATTTTTTTTTCTTTTTAAGAAAAGAAAATGGTGAGAATCTTTGCTGTCACCACTTTCCCAACAGAAAGTTTATGGGGTCCCCGATAGCATCTGGGTTTTTACATTAGAGGTTACATTTTCAGTGACAGCTGTGGCTACAAAAATATGTGTCTGCATGTCATCAGACACATGTATGTGTTAAAAAAAAATGAGCTCATCCTAGTAATTCAGATGAATAACGGTTGAGTTGATTCACAGATTTCTGTATAATTGCTGATAAAGTTCTTTATTAAGGCTGAGTCAAAGGGTCTGGGCATGGGAAATTAAAACCAAGAATCTCTTGTGCCTTAAACAGATATTCATGGTCAAACCAACTGAATGATCAAATCACCTGAAGTCCTGAATAGTGTGTCCCCTATAGGGCAGAGAAAGAGATGTGAATTTGAAAGCCCCAAAGACCTAGTTCTGCAATATTTGTAATGGCCAATTATTTGTTAGGAAAAGCGAGGACTTACTTTGGCTTCAGAACACTAAAAAATAAAAAAATAAAGTTTATTAGTTATCCTGCTCTGTCCCTTACTGGTTTTGGGGGGTTTTCCAGTAACTTTTGTTTCTTTATTTATTTTTCTGTCTCCTCCTTCATTCTGTTTCCTAAATGCTGTTGCTGTCTGTCTTTTCACTCAAGTTCATACCCTTGAGTTTGCTTGAAACTCGGTCAGGGTTTCAGCACTCTTGGTGCTGGAGGAGGTCAAGGGCTGCCCATGAACAGTAACACTGGCCCACTGCTCTCTACTCATCTGCAGAGTCAGTTTAAAATTAAGATCCTGCTCCCACTCAACTTCTCCATTTGGGGTTTCCCCCAAAGCTTCCCAGAAGCAGATGGCGCTTCCTGGAGCCAAGCTTGTTAAGCACTACCCTCTCTGCAGCGCTATCTCCTCCTGACAAATCCAGCTGGATGTGTCCTTGCCTCAGAGCTGCCAGGCTCAGGGAAAGCCTGTGTACAAGCTGTTGTGCTGTTCTGGTGTCAGCCTGCTCGGAGGTGGTGTGTGGTCTACAGCTTGACCAGGAAGCAACCTGAGGACAGGTGCTGATGGCAGGGACAAAAGGGCACCTTCTGTGTTCAAAAGCTTGACCGTAGAAGGGAGCTTGGGCTGTGCTGAAATGAAATGTGTGAGAAATGCAACTCAAATCAATTTAATTGATCCCAAAAAGAAGTAGCATGCCTGCAAATTGGTGCCTTTCTCTTTGCCACTGACTTCATGATGCAATGATTTGTGTGTTCCAGAGCTTCATGGAAGGTCTAGGAAAAGATGCTGTAGGTTGAGATACCTCCTGGGATGGGGGATGGAGATTGAAATGTGTTAGAAATGCTTTGGGAGAAAGTTCAGTTAAAGGGAAAAGGCAAAAGAGGGTGTGTGTTGCATTAAGTACAAAAGAGAATAGAAACTTTCTTTGGAAAATTAGTATTTTAAATAACAGGAGACTTAAAAATTATTGCTTTCTGAGAAAATACAATAGCTTACTTTAGGAAAGGAAGGAAAAAAAATGAAAACAAGAGACCAGAAAGCAAAGGAAGAGGGCAGAGGAGGATAAAGAAAGAGTGGGGGTAGAGATGGAGCCTAAGGCACTGCCATAAGGGCAGCACATTTTGGACTGGGGAGGGAGGCTGCCAAGAATCCTGTGTGCACAAGTTCAGACTAGAAAAAAATAAGGGTTTATGGCCACTTAAGTTATTGCAAAACCATACGAAATGTTTATTTTCTTAAAGTGGATTTTATTTCCGTGTGAGAGCTCTGTTTGAATGTGACATGCCTGTGCAGCCTGTGACATGAGCTGATGTGACCGAGCCGGTGCTGCTTCCTCTGTGAGTTGCCACTTCACTTCCTGCAATGCGTGGGTTCACCTGGGTTTGCCGAGGCCACTGCGGAGGGCTTCACAGGATTGGACCTGGGTGTTGCTTATGTCCTTGTGTGTTTCCTGCTGTCCTTGTACTCTTTCTTTGATCACATCACTCACCAGTTTTGTGGAAGGTGAAATCTACTCTGTATCTTGGATTCCAGCTGTGAGAAACGTCCTTGGTAATCCTGGGTTGCTCCAGATGGTAAAATCTGCAGTCCTACATCATTGCAGTAAGATGAAATACATTTCAGTGGCTTGCCTTTTATCCTAACACTTCTAAAACATTTTTATACGTGATCTTTTCAAAGCTACTTTGGGGGATTTCCACTCCCTTGCTGTTTTAAAATGCTCGTACTTCTGTGTTAACCACAAAGCTCACGCTGGTACACTCTGTCTCTGTCTCTCTCTCCTTTTCTCCCCATCGAGGACCAGCTACAATTTCCAGGTATGGCTTTACCAAAACGTGTCTTGTTAACACTGGCAGGAGCTTAACTTTGCCAGAATTATTTCTCATTTCTGAAGGGCTATTCAAGGGCTTGGCACACAGGGGTTGGGGAAAGCTGCAGACCCAAAAACATCTCAGGAAACAAGTTCACCCCCTGAACCAGCAAAGCGGTGCCGTGATGTTGTAAGGGGTGAGGGGCAGAACCTTCCTACTGAGATTTCTGTTGGTTCTTGGGAAGGTGATAAAACATTCAGGGACTGCCACAGAAGTGATGGCAACAAGGTTGTTTTCCAGCTGTGAATGAGGTTATTTTAAAACATCACAACATCGTGTTGATTAGAAATAGATTTCTTGATATTGCAAAATTAATTAATTAATTATTTTTAGAACTTCCAGGGAAAACAGTAGCTGTAGCAAATAAGTAAACTGACTGTAAAATCAAAGCTTCTTTAGCACCAGACACACTTTATTAGTTGTAAGAGTGTAGTTTTAATTCACTTTTTTTAAAATGCTGTGTTGTAACCTGAGTCTTAAAACCCAATGAAACCTAGTCTTATGGGAATTAACTGTAATGCTTGACTGTACCTCTATGCAAAGGAAACCCCACTGTCGTACTCTGCTTAGTGAAAATTTGCCTATGGAGATGAGCAAACTGATGCTTGCTTAGTAAGGTTTTACTGTGCCTTGAGGATGAGGTAATATTACAGTTGAAACTTCGATAGTATAGTGGTGTCTATATACAAAAGGAAGTATTTATTTGGCTGTCCTCTGCAGCAACATCCCCTGGGGTGCAGGGGGACTCAGGCACATATCCAATAAGAAATTGTTGCTGTTAGGAGCACTCTCTCCTGGGTACCAGCAGGTCACTGCCCTGCAGCTTTTAAGTGATTAGGACATCATCAGAGCAGTTCCTGAGGTGACCCTGAGTGTTAGCAGTGGGTCTGTGTTGGTGCAATAAGGGATCCTTTCCCTCCTCAGCCTCTGTGCTGGAGGGACACACATGATGCAGCCAGGGTCCTTCTCCCACATGGGGAATGTGTTCTGTTGTCAGCAGCCAAAATGTTTTAACTCTCTTTGGGCTGGAAGGGACAGGGATGATCCCCCAATGATGTCAGATGTCATCATCTCCTGTTTTCACATTATTCCATGTAACTTGCTGTATCTTAAATATGTATCTCAGACTATATAGATACTTTCAGTGATTCTTTAGCAAACTGTTATCTCTTCCACTCTGTGTGTTGAGTTGGGGCATATATTTCTTGTCCCCACAACAGTGGGGTTTTGGAGGGCCTTGGAGTAGTAAATCATACAGCTATGTTATTTTCATTCAAAAGTACTGGAGGCAGCTAATCTGTTTATAAACTGAATAGTTTATACAGCAGCTTGGAGAGGGTTGTTTTAATGCAAGATGTGTTCGCCTCCATCCCATTTCTGCCTGTTACCTCCCAGTGAAGTGACTTAGACCTCCAAATTTGACAAAATGTTTCTCACTGTGACTAAGACAGTTCTGATCTACCATAAAAGGTTGATAATTTTAGAGGGAGGGACAGGGCATCTTCTAAGTCTTGTCCCAACCAATGTCTTAGGGCAAAGCAACAGAGCTGAACTAGAGCTACAGAAAGGTAGGTGCATAACTTTTTTTTTGTGCCCTGTTGTATGTGTGACATGGAAGCTGGTAAGTGAGGAAGGTGCTTTTTACTGGGAATACCCCAGTCCTGGAGAGTGGCTGAGCATCACCCTCCCCTCATGCAGTGAAACCTGGCAGAAGCTGGGCTCTCAGCCCCATTTGCTGGCTGGATCCTGTCTTGTCCATGTGTGATGATCAGATCTGTGATAACATCCTGGATATTTTCTCTTCTCAGTCTGAGACATGGTGGCACCCAGTGCCTGTGCCTGGCTCTGCTGTCCTGGAAGTTTTGGCTGTAATGGTGCATTCACAGCTCATGGGATAATGTGCTAACCTTTCAGGAGGGCTTGGCTTCATATGAGAGAAAACAGGAAAAATAGGGTCTCTTTAAAAAAAGCAACCACATCATAAGGAATAGTTTTTCCTATGTGCAGAAAGTATGTTTTTATGGCTGGAAGAAGTTAATCTGTCCACAGTAGTTCAATGTGATATGAAGTTTCCACACAGCCTCTTGTCATTCCGACTGCTGGTGCTGTAGATAGAGAGCAGCAATGCTGGAGGGGAGCTGTTTGAACATGGCTTTAAAATGTTGATGCAATTTTATATTCTAGTAAGTCATGCCCATGCTGATTTTTCTCCTTATTATTACATTCTGCTCAGTTTCTGATGAAGAAGCAGTTCTCAGTGTGGAATATTTTACTGGAAAATGTTTTGGCTCAGTTTGGTGTGGTGGTAGTTAAAACAGGATAGCTCACAATTTATAAAGTTTATTTTTGTTAAGAAAATTCTCCCACTTGGATTATTTCCAGTGAGGTTAAGGCATCTGCATAGAAAGAGTTGTTCCAAAAGCATTTTGCTTGTGCAGCTTGTGGTGCAGGCAGGGCTGAAGTAGTGGGAAGATGCAGCTGGGAGCTCTTTGTACTGCACTGCCTTTGAGCTCCCACTCACTGATAGCTGTTAATAGGACTTGGACTTAGCTTCTAGTGATTCACACTACTTTTTTATGTGTGGGCAGAATTAATTCTATTTATTTCAGTACAGGGAAATCCTTTTATTTTTTTTTAATGTGTAGATTTTCAGTCTCCATAGACTGGGGGGTTTTGTGTGTGTGCTGTTGCAGTGGAGTTGCAGTGAGAATCCCTTTAGAGTGTGCACTGTGTCTGACACAAGAGCGTCATTATGCAGCACGAGCCTGCCGCTCTCTGCTATTTTAAACCAGCATTACAATTCACACGTGTGCTGAAAAATTGCAGCGTACACAAAGGCAGGAGGACACCTTCCCCTTGCTGGAAGCTGTGAGCAGACAGAAGTGAAAGCTACCTCAGGCCCTGCCTACGCTGGCCAGGCATCAGCGTAGGCAGGAAATTGATTCAGATAACCCTTTGGGTGCTCTCACTGTCATCAAACAGCACTTTTTCCCCTGACGGTTTCCCTTTGGCTTCAGTTCAGAGAGCCCGTGTGCTGGAAGCCAGAAGCGGGAGCAAAGCTGCTGCAAGCCACCCTGAGTCACTGGTGAGTGCTGGGATGGGAATTACACGCTGCCTGGGCTGGTTTGGATCGCATCCCACTGAGTGCTGGCTGGCACAGGGCTGCTGTTTCTCAGCTCCTCTGAGTCTCCCCAGCTGACTGACACGGGCGCCTCTCCAGCTTGAGCAAAGCACTGCCATCCCCAGGCCCCCTCCTTGGGCAGCCCATTTCTTCCAGCAGAACAGCTGCAAGCCCCGCAGCAAAGCTCCTGCAAGGCTGGCAGCAGCAGTGAGCTCCCTCATCCTCTGGGCACCCAGAGGTTTCCGCTCTGCCCTCTGAGCAGGCAGCCTCTCCTTTCCCCTGGGATGCTCTTTCCTGTGCCCTGCAATGCTATCCTGGGCGAGGCTGAGGTGGAGGAGGCGCTTTCATGGAGATGCCAAGAGTCTCCATTTTTAGGAGTGGGATCTGGGTTGGGTGCATTATGATGGTGTTTAAAGCGATACAGGCTCTCATTTCAGCAAGAGAGCTGGAAGGTGGTGTACCACAGCAGAGTGCTCCTTGGAGAAAGAAATGGGAGTGATTTTGGTTGATTTAATGAGCAGTGAGAGCTCTGGAGGAGTTTCTGGATGGGATTTTGGGCTGCTGACTGTTTCTTTTTAATGTGTCCCATAAGTTTTTTGCCTAAAACGTGTCACTCCAGCTGGAGTTGCTGGAGTTAAGGGAGATCCCTGAAGGCAAAATGGGTAAAACATTTCTATGGTTTTTTTTGTAGGTGGTTTTATTTTTAGTGTGTTTTTACACAGTGTGGCATTAGCTTGCTAAACCATACCATTAGATGATTTAAGTGCTGGAGCATGATAGGACTGGGGAAATTGGATGCCAAGTAAACGGGAGAGAGAGCAGTAAAAAAAGAGAAGAAAGAAACTTGTTTCAGAGTTGTCACCGACTGATGGCAGAGTTCTTAGGCAGTTCATCCCGTGGATGGTCCATGCTCTGGAAATTAATGGTGATGGCTCTCCATCTGCCTTAGAAGCAGCAGGCACACTCTGCTGCTGGCATCTGCTACCGAGGCATGAAACTGGTAATCCCTCAGGCTGCATTTTGTCATCTCTGGTTGATGGGAGGAAAATAGAATTGCTTCTTATTAGGTGCCAGGGAAACAGGAACCCCATTTTCAGAGGAGGAAAGATGTTTAAAAATGAAAGAAGCAAATGGACAACCACGTCTGGTTTGAAGCAGAAGGCTGTTCATTTGGAGGGACCAAACAGGGTAATTTGCAAACTCCTGTAGGAGTAATAAGTCTTTAATGGCTGGAATATGATTACGGCTCCTATTCCTGAGGGCTACCGGTGTTAGATGATCAATTGTGCTGGAGTATGTCAGACATTCAGCCTGGTGAAAGGCAGGGAGACTCTCACAAGCTGGGGGGGTGAATACTGTGTGTAACCACTAACGAGGGTGCTGAGTTACAGGAGCACTTAAATGTTGGCTGTGGAATACATTTTAATTGGTTAAGTGCTTTGGTGTGTTTTTGAATCGGGCACATTATCTGTCTGCAGGATTTCCTCAGCCAGTATGGATTGTTAAAGTAGAAAGGAAAATGGATGTTGTTCTCTGAAGCCCGAGGTGCTGTGTGGCAGCTCACTAATTGCTGCTTTCCTGGGCCAGGAGGGGCTGCAGCAGGGAGGGAGGGTGGGAGGGTGGGCAGAGTGTCAGCACTTGGCACACTGTTTCATGCCAGGCACAAGGTTGTTAATGGTGATGTGCTTGCCCTGCTTCCCTCCAAAAGCAGCAACTGCCCTCAGTGACTTTATAGGAGATGAGTGAGAGCTCTCAGAGAGATGCTGATGCCAGTAAGAGTGACTCCAGTGACTGACAGGGCAGGTGGTGCACACAGAAGGAAAATAGCATCCTCATAGCACAGCTGTAAAACTGAGCTTATGAAATGGTCTGGGAGCTCAGGTGTGTTGTGCTTTCATTCAGTCCTGTAAGGAAAAAGTCCTCTGAGTGCAAAGCTGCAAGAAATGCCAATCAGAGCGGCTCCAGGGCTTGAGCTCCTTGCAAAAAAAAATAAAATAAAATAAAATAAAAAAAATAGCTGCAAGGTTGAGGGACTGGTGGCAAATCTCAAGGTTTGTGACTTAAGGCTTGGAACAAATGTTGATGCTTTTTCCTATTGGAAAATTAACGTTGCATTCCTGTGCTGTGTATGTTATGGTAGGTTGAAAGAAAACCTTATGTCACATTTCTGATTGCAACCCTGCTTTTCTTCTTTTCCCACCACTTCTTTCAGACAGAATTAATACAGCCAAAAACTTGCACATAATGAAGTAAAATAAGAGTTTACTGCTAGAAATGAATGATCAACAAGAAAAAGAAAGGTGTCAAATGAAGAGGCTTCAACTCCTGTAGCACCTAAACTGAAGGTAAAATCTCCCTCCTGCCTTTTTTTTTTTTTTTTTTGTATGCTCCTTGCAGTGAACCACAAAGCCATCTCCTGCTTGAACCAGTGCAGTGAATTTATAATTCATGTGGGTGGGCTCTACTTTAAGTGGAGATTTTCCTGGTGAACATTAAGGCCAAAACTTGGCCTCTGCTCTCCCCAGCTGTGTCTGAGACTCTTTTGAGGCTCTTAAGTTTTTTAAGACTAAGAACTGCTGCAAGAAAAGAAAAGAAAACAAAAAAATCAAAAACCAGCCAAACCATAAAAATCTCAATTCTGTGTAATAATTTTCAGATTGGGAAGCTCTTTTCCAAAGAAGTGTGCTTTGATGCTTGTAGCGTAAACTTTGCTTTGTGGTTCTCTGAGTGTTTCATTGTTCTTCCACAGCTGGCACCACGTTTCCCTCTGAAACCTGTCTCCCCCCTGCAGATGAGAGCCCTCCTGCCAGCAGCAGCCTGCTGCACGCAGTAGCTGAGGCAGAGTCGCTGCCAGGGAATATTTGAAGAGCTTCTCCTTGTGTCTGCTTCGCTTCCCAGTGCAGCTCCCATGGCCTGTGACGAACCCGCTGCTCTCTTGGGCATCTTCACGCGCCAGAACTCCTCCAGCACCAGCTCTTTGGACTTTGAGCCCGACGCCGACTACAAGTTTGTGGAAAGCCTGGAGGAGCGGTACAAGTGCGCCTACTGCCACCTGGTCCTGCGCAATCCCCACCAGACGGGATGCGGGCACCGCTTCTGCCAGCAGTGCATTCTTGCTCTGAGGTGAGAGCAGACTCCTCCTGTGTCTGCAAGCTCCCCTTGTTCCCTTTCCTAAAAAAAACCCCACATCTTCTATAAATCAGCATAGTGCCGTAGTAATATTACCGACCCAGTAAGAGGCTGCAGGAGTCAATGGAAGGGCTCTGTTGAACCCGGTGACTGCATGCTCAGTGTTTTAAAGGCGTCTCTAAAGACCTTACCTGGTGCTGGTGAACCACAGGGGAGTCAGCATAAAGAAACTGTTGATGTAAGCTGATAGTGCTGTGTGAGATGCTGCTGTGGTCTCTCTGCCATTGTGCTCCTCAGAGGAATTTGCTGCGTTGATGTCTCTCGGTTTTGGTGCTGGTGGTTAGATTAGGCTGTGTTCATCTGCTTCAGTATAATTCCTGTGAATTTAGCAGCATTATAAGACTGATGTTAATGTTACCTGATGCTGCAGTCAGATCACAAGGCTGCTGGCATCCCTTCTGCTTGGTACAAATGAGTTTTCCCCCCAGACTGTCTGGGAATACATTATGGACTCTTTGGTGTACCTGAGGGCAGCATTTCACCTGGAAAGATTGCAGAGGAGCCTCTTCATGTGGATGGATGTCACTAATTACCTTTTGTGAATGCTTCATGTTTGCTGCTTTGTCTCTGGGTTGACTCCTTTTACACTGCCTCTGTGACTGTTTTCCTGCTACCTATTACAGGATTTCTGGAAGCCTTTTAAGAAAGAAGCCATTAGATCTTCTTTTACTGGTGTAGCAAGGAGGGCACTGCTTCTAGTAGACAAAGGCTGGGTTTAAAGCACACTGTGAGATTTTTTGAGATACGACATTTGTGAGCTGCAGATGGTCAGAGAGTGACAAAGTCCTCTTAATTAAAAAACATCTTGTGGTTTTTACCATTGAACACTCTTAGGGCAAACTCTGCTTTCTGTTACGTGTTCATGGTTGCTGCTTTATGCCCTCTTTGAGCTGTGGGCAGAATTTGGCTGTGTAGTTGCCAGATGAAAGTGTTTTTAAAGGATTTTTTTTTTTGTTGTTTTTATGCTATCTACTGCTGACTTCTGTCAGAGTCAGATTATAGCACAGCCCAATTTAATAAAATAAATTGAATTTCCTGTGGGTTAACACGACTCTTCTTTTGATCTAGAGAGTTAAATGCAGTACCCACCTGTCCTGTCGACAAAGAAACAATAAAAATGCATGAGGTAAGTGGCTGTAGTTTTATTTCAGCAGTCAGCATTTACATGGGAAAGGCAAGACAACTGAGAACAAGGTGGCTTTTAGTCCTCAGGGCAGAGCAGTTTTTTGTCTCTGAAATAATGCAGAAGGAGCAGTGTACTCAGTGATGCTCTCTCAGGAAAGAATTATGACTGTCTAGATAAAGCTTCATTTTATACCTCATGTTCTGAAGTTATTTCATTTTAGTCTTCTGTATTTCCAGTAAAGTGTTGAAGAATTTCACAAAGCTTTGAATCCTCCCAAATCAGCAGATGTCTGGTTTTTTATGGAGATTTTATTGACTTGCTTTTTAAATGCCCTATCTTGCTGGGATATCTTGTTTATCTGATTGTCTTCATTTTAACTTGGCTATAATTTGCTTTCTTGACTATCTCCATTAGATCACATTAACCCTGAAGACCTCATTTACTTTTGGGTAACTTCTAGAGGAAAAGAAAAGTTCATCCTTTTTATTTTGGAAGCTATTGTTGGTTTTGGTTATTTTGTTTTATAATGGATTCATTTGTCCTTATTTATATTACAAGGCTTGGAAGGATACCATATACCAGGGAAATCAAATATCTCTTTCTTCTCTCTCCTACTTCTGATAGGAAATTATAATCAGACTGTCCACATGATTTTCATTTTTTATTTGCCATCTTCCACTTGCAAATTTTGATGACAACAATGCAGGAAGATCTCTAAATAAGACTGAGAGTTTGCTCTGGGGGCTCCATTTGCTTCTGCATACACAGCTGAGAACGGTGCTGCGTCTCAGATGTGACAGAAAGGATATCTCAGCATCGCCTCCATCCCAAAGGCACTGCTTGAGCATAGTGGAGCATGCACAGAGCTGGTTTGGCCTTCAGGGCCCGTTAGCTCCATCTGCTTTCTTTTAGTTACAGCAGGCTCTGGCAGTGGTTATACAGCTCCTGTGCTATTAGTCCTGCTGGCTGTGGGATGGATCAGCATCTGTGGAACAACTATGTTGGGGGAAAAAAACCCTATGCTTACTAGAAATGTCATAAATGGTTTCATTTATAGTTTTAATACAGATTTTCAATATGAATTATCAAGAGCCATACTCACAATTGTCATTTACACTTGAACACCTAGAAGATCTGTAGTGATGTTTTGTTCTTTTATATTATTTATAGCATCCTGTGTGACTGCATATTAAGGCTGGTTTGCTTCCTTTGAAGGTATTCAAAGACAACTGCTGTAAAAGAGAAGTTCTCAACTTGCATGTGTTCTGCAAAAACTTCCCTGACTGCAATTCAAAAATAATTCTGGGACGGTATCAGGTTGGTTTGCTTGATCAAATTTTGCAGCTTTTGATTTTGATGACAGCTCTGTGTATTTATGATCAGCTGAATTCCTGTGATTGTCTTCAGAGTTATTGTAGCAATGTGGTTTAAGTACAAAGATTATGACAGCTATACACTGTAAGTAGCATATATTATAGCTTTTAGCTTGTTCCAGCTTTGCCTTAGGGTTTTTTTTTTAATAAGAACCATTTTCTTTATGTTGCCTTTGTAAATCAGTGTCCGTTCACATTCTGAATGCTTAGGTGATTATTGATTTGAGGAAACTGGTCACACTGGCCATTTGGCATTTAATCTGCTGGTGTGTGTTGCAGGAGCATCTGCAGCAGTGTTTGTTTGAAAGCATGCAATGCACTAATGATGGGTGTCGGGATCAAATTCTTCGCAAAGACTTGAAAGAGCACTTGAGCCAGCACTGTAAATTCCGGGAAGAGAGGTGCCAGTACTGTAACACATATGTGGTGTTAATTAACATAAAGGTAAGATTATGAAGCATTCCCAAGAATTCATAGCACCTGTTTCCCCTTGATTTTGCTGAATGAGAAGTTTCCAGCATTGCAATGGCACTTAACTCCTGAAACAAAAGTTGGCTGAGTAGCTGAAGGAGAAAATATAATAATTGTGCTTGAAATCATACCAATTATTGATGCTCTCTTATGAACAAGATGATATGTGTCATGCATTTGTATGTTTGGGATTACTTTTTGCATAGCTTCCTCTGTATATACTGCTTTACAAAAATGAAAGCCATTGCCTTTTTCTGTTTCTTTTTCTTCAGAACCATGAGCAAAATGACTGTCCTGATTATCCTGTGCCTTGTCTCCAAAACTGTTCACAAATAATTCTGAAAAAAGAGGTACTATTATATTTTTTCAGATACTGCAATTCAGCAGGCCACATACATTTATGAAAACTGAAAGCTATGCTGCAGACCACACTGGCCCGTGCCAATAAAATTTCATTGCTCTAAGTGTTTCCTTTGTTCGATCCTAAAAGGGATACATCTCCCATCTTCTAAGTGGATTATTCTGTCGCTGCAAGCCATTGGTGTTTTGCAGCATGGAAAAACACCTGGCTTGCTTATTGATTCTGAGTACTCATTTTCCTGGTAAAGTCATTGGAGGTGTCATGACAGTGGCCTTTATTCACCCTTTTTGCAGGCATTTAGATTTTATTAGTGCTTCAAATTACTAAGTATTTATTTAATCACAAACTGCTTAATACATGCAGATTGAAAAGCACCATGCTGTGTGTCCCGAGGCAGAAGTGGACTGTCCATATAAGCAGTACGGCTGTCATGTAAAGGTACTGTTTTACGGATCTTTGTACCAGGACTGGACTTTGTCTCCCAAACCAATCAGAATAATTAAAATAACCACTTTATGTTCTTTCATAACCATTTCTGCTGGCTAAGCTGAAACACTAGAGAATCAGGACTGCCCTTCCCTCACTTTCAGGGCATAAAGGAGACATTTTGAATGTTTGCATCATTAAATTTTTTACCAAGAGCTTCAAAAATCTGCTTATCTTAGTATTTTATTCTTTCACTTCCCCCCTCTGTCTCACTAAGGTTAAAAGAGGGAAACTTGCTGAACATGAAAACAGTGCCCTGAGGGAACACATGCTGCAGATTTTAGACAAGAACTCCCGACTGGAAGAACAGGTAAGTCATATTTAATGAGAACTCTTCAGCAGTTCTTGACTGGTTAGAGGATGATATGAGATTCTACATTTGTTGCCTGGTTTAGCTCAGCTACATTTTAAATGACTCTTTTTATAGTCTTTCCACACCTCAGAAGACAGAATATGCTCTTCTAGTGAAGTCAGTGAATTACAGGGAAACCTCTCTGTGCTCAGGCATGTATATTCTACACCAGGCACAGTGGGAGGCTCCTCTTGCTATTGCTCACCTCATTTGCTTTCAGTCTCTGTTTTACAGTGGATATGGAGTTTGGAGATAAAGCATTTTAAAGTTTCACTGGCTGGCCAGGTTGCTGCAAAAAGCAGCCTTTAGCTGCCCCGGTTACTGCTCTGTGTGGAAGCAGCACGGAGGACAGCAGCTCTCTGCTCAAGATCACTTCTTTGGCTCCCAGCAGGAGACACTGGGTGTACACCCAGTGCTGTTAACTGAATGGATCCAAACTGATGGGGGACTTGCTTTTCGCTTGTTTATGCAAGAAGTAAGAGCCCCAAACTGCTAAAACTTGGTTTTGAAGTGTGTATCCTTCACTGAATCATCTCTTCTGCTGGTTAGACCTCAGTAAAGGAAAAAAATGCATATACATACACAAAGAAACACACATGCATGTGTGCATGTAAGTATATATTGTCCCACTGTAGAGCCAAATGGACCATCATGGATGGGAATGAGAGATAGGAGCCTCTTTGCACCTGGAGCCACATGGATCTGCTCAAAACTCTGATTACCTTATGTGCAGTTCTTGCCAGTGCTTATTCACAAACAGTGAATTAAGGAATGCTCTATCTAGCCCACTTAGAGGATTTGCATTGTAAACTTTTCCACTCTCTTACATAGTCAGATATGTTATCGTTTCTTCATTGCATGTTTTGTTGTTCCTTAGCATTTATACTCTGATTTTTCCATCTGTAGATATCTGACCTGTATAAGAGCCTGGAATGTAAAGAGATTAAAATCCAGCAGCTAGCAGATGCCATTAAGAAGTGTGAGAAAGAATTCAGACAGTATACACAATTGTTTGGTAACAATAGCAACTTGATGGTAAGCACTCAGGTGAGACATTGATTTTACCTTTTTTACCAATTGCTTTCTTGCATCCTGAAATATGTTTCTCCAGTAACAGTTGTCATTAATAGCACAGCCTTCTCAAAGACCTTCTCATTTTTTTACTATATGTTATTATCTTTTCATTTTATTTGATACAGAAGTTTGGATATGTGATCTGAGCAAAAAGCACTGTACAAATCCTTACGGTCAGATGCCCAGGGCAGATGTGCAGGTGTAAATTTGAATAATGAGTTGAATGAAGTGGTGCAGTGAGAATGGGTTCTGAATGAGGGATGACTTCTCAGTCTGTAAATGAGCTGAGTTAATCATGAAAGAGCACTGGGATAAGTTCCTAAGCCAGCACAGCACTTTGAATGCATCATATCATTGATAGTGCTGACATGCTAAAGACTTCACTATCTTAATTCAAAGCAAATAACTGGTTTTATGGATATCTTTTGTGTCTACTTCCCACCCTCTTCCAATGGCATGAACTGGGAAGGCTCTGGCTAGTCACCTGGATAAGTCTGCACGCCTGGAATCACAAGTGAAACAGCTAATACAGATGGCAAACCAGCAGCAAAGTAAATTAGACCTGCGGCCCCTGTTTGACACGATTGAAAACATGAAACAGAAGATTGCCCTGATGGAGACGTATGACCAGCGTATGGGTATGTTGGCACTTTCCTGCACAGGTACGGGAGGTTTGCTGATTTTCTGGTGGCTAAGTGGAGGCTGTGGTGCTACACCCAATCATTGGGAGCTCTTCACTAAAAAGGGCTTTCTTCTTGCATTCTGAGAACAAACTGTGATGGTGTGTGCGATGTTCTCCCGCCTTTCCCTACTGCACAATGTCTCCTGAGCTCCAGTGGCACTGCAGGGCCAGAGAGCTGGCCCTTGGTTTGGCTCCTGCACTGTGATAGAGGCCGTGGCACTGTTCAGGCATTCATGATTTATAGTTGCCAGCTTTTCTTATTGAACCACTAGCTGCAGTTACAGTTTTTAAAAGTTAACAGTTCATAACCTGTACTCAGGCTTGGGTAGATCAGTTTTGACAGCTTGAGTCTGGGTGCTTGCTTTATCCAGGGCTCTGATAGCTTTTTATTTTCATTTTATTTTATTTTTATTTTACTTTTTATTTTACCAAATGTCTCTCTCTTTTTTTTTTTATTCAATTTCTTTTCTTTGCCTTCTCTCTCAGTTGTTTTGGAAGATCAGTCCAGCAAACATGATCTCCAGATCAATATTCACAAAGCACAGCTCAATAAAAATGAAGAACGATTTAAGCTTTTGGAAGGCACGTGCTACAATGGGAAGTTAATCTGGAAAATCACAGACTACAAGATGAAGAAGAAAGAGGCAGTGGAGGGCCGTGTGCTGTCCATAGCCAGCCAGCCCTTCTACACCAGCCGCTGTGGGTACAGGTTGTGTGCGAGAGCCTACCTGAACGGGGACGGCTCGGGAAAGGGAACGCACATCTCCCTCTACTTCGTGGTCATGAGGGGCGAGTTTGACTCACTGCTGCTGTGGCCTTTCAAGCAGAAGGTTACACTTATGCTTTTGGACCAAAGTGGGAAAAAAAATCACATTGTGGAAGTCTTTAGAGCTGACCCCAACAGCAGCAGTTTCAAAAGGCCAGATGGAGAAATGAATATTGCTTCCGGCTGTCCGCGCTTCGTGCCACACACCGTCCTGGAGAACACAAAGAACACCTACATCAGAGATGACACCCTCTTTTTGAAAGTGGTCGTGGATCTAACTGATCTGGAGGAACTGTGAAAAGCGTGCCCAATCGGTGTGACTGCTGTAAGCATGAGGAACTGCTTTTGTGGTGAACACCAGCCATGCAATAGCAAACTGCCACCAGTCAAGCTACTTGAGAACATTTCATGGCTTTGGACTACAGGACAGATAATGAATTGCCAATCAGCCTCTCCTTTTCTACCCATTTTTTTTCAAGACTGCATTTTTAAGACAGTTAGAAGTCCAGGCTGGTGCAAGCATGCATTCTATCCAGATTGGTTCAGTCCAGGCTGGGGAGAATGCTTGGCTCCCATCACCAGACTGGTGTTTGGAAATGAACCTCCTTCAGTAAACTCCCTGGAGCCCAGGCAGGCCTGTGGGCTCCTCTCCCTCACACAGAAGTGAAGCCATGCCCAAACATGCAAGTGCATTTCATCTGTCTGCAATGGAAACATTTTGACATTAGCAAATTTGAGTCAATGTGTCTTGATCCCTCCATCTCTTGGATTTTTGAAGCAGGGATAAAGGCTTCAGTTAGGCAGAGAAAACATTTGCCAAGTATCTTGCATCTTTTTTATTTGTTTGAATTGTGTTCTTCCAGAAAGCCCAGAGGAAGGAGCCAATGCCTCTTACTTTTTTAGCCTGTTTTTTCAGCTGTACAGAGTACTCCCAGGTCACAACAGCTTTCTTGTGTCCTTTCCATTCCTGCCTAGTGCCTTGGGACTGGTTTCCATTGGTGGTAAACATCCACAGTCCCCATCTGAAGCCAAAAGCTGCAGGTGCTTCTCACCTCTCAGGACGTGGCCAGAGGCAGGGCACTCGGCCAGCCTGCCAGCTCCTGGCTGTGCTGCTGGAAGAGCAGCAAAACTCCTGTTCTTTTGCTGCCACATCTGTGAAAAAGAGATCTTTTCTGGCCTTACCAGCTCTAAAAAAGGCAGGAAGAGTTTGGGGAATAGCTCACGTAACATGCACTTTTCCTCTCTCCTAGAAGCTTGGCGAAGAAGGAGGAAAATGGATTAGGGAGTGAGGTTGCTGTAAGAACCCAATTTTTACAATCAATGCAGCTTTAGTGTTTGTTAAAGGATGACACAGCTGCTGACTGTGATGTCTGAAGATCTTAATTTTTATTCCAAGTTTCTTCCATACTGCAAGGGAATGTGTGCATTGTGCAGGGCTTATCTGGGACATGCTAAAACCACCAAGATCAGGCACTGAGGAACAAGTGACACAGAACACAGGTGCCTTTTTAAAGCCCTTTGGGTGCCTGTAAGAGGGATGTAGTTTTGCATACTCATTTTGTTATTACAAGTGGAAGAGTTTTACGTCTCTCATCTCTCACAGGTCAGGTAGGGAAACACCATGGCATTATCCATTGCACCAAAGCTTATCAAGAGACAGCAAGAAACTAAGCTGGTTTTAGAGTAAGAGTAAACTAGGCAGGATAAAAATCAAAACAGGGCACAGACTGAAAGGCATAGATAGAAAATTCTGGAGGGCAAATGTGTCAAACTGGAAGATGCCCTTCCTGTGCAGGATGTTGATAACAATCTAAATAATTCAAGGACTGATACCAAAATGAAGGCAAAATACTTCATTTTGTATCTGCAATCTTATGGCTAGACATTTACTTTTCCACATGGTTTTCAGGACATAATTCAGACACATGTATTTTCTAACTCAGGTGGAGGGGAAGAGACTTTAGTAATCTGTACCTCATGGTGGGTTAGCACATGTAAAATCTTTGTTTTCATCTAGAAGTCCTTTTTGGTTCACAATGTCAAGATTTACAGAGCCACCATCAGAGCTGCTTTCCGTGTTCCCAGGGACAGATTGTGAGGAACAAATTTTATTCTTGTGTACCACAACCATTAACCTCCAGGGTCATTTCAGCTGTAAAACAGAACAAACTAGATGTAACACTTGGTTACAGAAAGAGCAGGCTTGTTTTGACAGGGGCATGCCATTCTGTGACATCAACCATGAGCCTGGATTTCATGTTGATTTCTACTCTAATATTTGTCATGTAACTTTCAAAGTGACACAACTTGCATAATAACCACTAATAACTGATGGGAATGTACCATCCGTGTGTCCTGGAGCTCTCCAGTACATTGAGTGTTAAATACAGAAAGTGATAAAGAGCTCAGACAAGCAAAGGAGGCAAGATGAAACGGATATGTGTGGTCTGTATCCTGGCAAATTCCCAGCCCTCTCCACCTCCACCACCCCAAATGTAAAATGGGGATAATAATACTTGGAGAAGCATTAGGGCTATTTAAATGTTTGTGAAGAAGTTTGACCATGAAAAGAGCTAAGTATTATTAAAACTCCATTTCTAATTGTTAGAATAGATGGCATTGTGATGTGGGTAAGTGTTTAATGTTTTCCTAGACAGATTTTGGAAGCATGTTTGGTTTTAGGCAGTTCATACTGCAATCTCTACCTACTGGTTGGGTTTAGGTTTTTGCCATAAATATTCCTTTTAAAATTCTGAAGCACAAATTCATCCTGGGTGATGGAAACATCCCTTTTGAAATACTGCCTGTTTTATATAGAATTAGTTGAGAAAATTAATTTTTTTAAAGACAACCCTCTTTAAATTGGTTCTTTTTAGTACAGAAATTAAGAGATTTATGTTAAAATTTTCAGTGATTTTTTTACTACTTGTAAACAGGGTCTTAAATTTCATCCCATTTCTAATAGAGAAAAACATGTTGTATAGCATGAATTGTTAGGAAGACTTTTGATGTTGCATGAAGAATACCAAAAAACTTTTCAATAATACTGTACTGAGTAAGTAACCAAAAGAGCGTAGGGTATTTCTACATCAGCATACCATATGTTTCTAATGTATTTATTGATAGTTTGTAGTTGTTTGAATAGCTCCTACTACAATAGAGGCATTTTTCTAGCCAAATGTCTTTACTGTGTACATAAACTAATGTAAGAATAAATAATTTTATCATCCTTCTGGAGGGACTCTGGCCTATATTCCTTTTGGCTGGATTGAAGCAGACTTGAGTACTGGGTATTTATTTACACTAATTTTAAACAACACAACACAAAAAAAACCCAAAAAAAACCAAAAACAAACCAACACTGCTTTAGATTAGGAATCAGTGTACTTCTTGGGTGTTTTGGTTTGCACTTGGATAGCGCAGAGCAAGTTCAGTAAATCCTGAGCCAGGTCAGGTGAATATCCTGGAGGTCTGAGGCTGCACTGCCGCGGTAATTTGTGGTTAGGGCGGGTTTGGGCTCGGCAGGGATGGGATTTGTTTCGGTTCAGAGCAGGAACAGGAACTGTTCCAGTATCCCATGACTACGGCGTGCTTAGGAACGCGGTATTTCGCAGCGGGGAAGGGGACGCTCGGCAGGGCAAAGCCCAGCGTGTCGCAAGGCGCTGAGGGGACCGTGTGTCCGGGCCGTGTTCCCGGCCGTGTGTCGGGGCCGTGTTCCCGGCCGTGTGTCCCGGCCGTGTTCCCGGCCGTGTGTCCGGGCCGTGTT